CATTTTCTGGATATTTCTCTCATTTGTGCTCATCATATAAATTCACTCAAATAGGTTGAGAGCATCTTTTCCTTTGAACCAAACACCCTTTTAATCTTAGATTTTAGGTAAAATTACAAACACTTAACATTATTCATTGGGAGGACAAAGTTTTCTTTGTGTATAATTGCAGAATCTCTGTAATTTTTTACTGGTTCTTACCTTACAAAAATTTGTTTTCATAGTTATTTATAAAATGTTAAATAATAAGTATTGAATGTTAGTCAGTTTACATATTTTGATAATTTTGCATTTTTTTTATAAATTTTTGAATAAATTTTTTTTTTAACATTTATTTGTCTATAAAATGGTAAATAATGAATTTTTATAAAGGGTAAATAATAAATATCACATTGTACTTGGTTCACATATTTTTATAATATTGTAAATAAACATTGCCGAGGGAGGAAAAAGCGTGTCCAGTAATAGCAGTGTCAAGGAAATAACTGGCCTTTTGACTCACCACTTTTTGTAGGCACAAAGGTTAAACATTGCCCAAAAAAATGTTGTAAAGATTGAAATTGATAGATTTCAGGTGTGATTTTTTCAATTTATTTTATACCATAAAAAATCCATTAAAATATAATACTGCTTTCTGTCTGAATTTCTGGGATGAAGAGTTATCATTATTTACACTATTTACATTCAGACTCTTGTCTTCATCTTTGTTGTTGTTATCACAACGTTTTGGTCAAATGTACACTCCGGCCTTCCTCAATTGTATAGTGATCCAGCACAGGGATTGAAATCACAGTCACTATATCACTAAATTCACAAACGCTTTTATACACTAGGCCATTGTCCCAAACAGTTTGTGAATTTGGTGACATAAAATGTTGTAATGGATAGTGGCTCAGATTGAGGAATTGGATCCATTACATTCATTTATGTGCTAATACTCTTGGGAAAGGTATGAATCTTCTTCTCCCCCCAGTTATGGGTAAATAGCAGGACAGACTAGGCTCTATAGCCTTGGATGGCAACTGGTCTACCGTAGAAAGAAATGACAACCTACTGTGAGAAAAAATCTACCTCGTCAGTCATGTGTTGAAAGACACATGATTGCTTAAGTGTGTATCATGCATGCCACATAACTGACTGACTGAGTGGTTGTGAGTTCAATCTCTGAGTCGGGCAGGGTGTACTTGTACTCAGTGGAAACAAGCAAGCAATAAATTAGCAGTACTAAATAAAAGAGCAATAAATGAGTAGTACTAAATAAGAATAAGAACTAGACAATATCCTTAGACATGAGCAATGAAACAAGAACAGTCTACCTTTTAAATAAAGGGTTCAGTTCAGAATTCCTTGTATGTTACCCAGATCAGTATGCACCTGAGGAAGGCTGGAGAGCACAACAGCTGCAACATTGTGATAATAACAACAAAGATGAGGACAATAGTCCGAATATAAATAGTGTAAATAATAACACTGCTTGTTTTCATTTTTTATACAACAGAGATTTTTGTTTAATAAAACCCACTCATAAATTTTAATAACAGAAAAAAAGTAAGCTAGGTCTCACAGAAGTTAAATTTTTGTCTGAATTTCTAAGAGTTCTCATTATTTACCCTATTAGACTGTTCTCGTTCAACTGCCCTAGTCTAGGGATATCTCATCTAGTTCTTATTTTTAGTACTGCTCAATTATTACTTGTTCTGTTTCCACACTGCTTGGCCCAGGGATTGAACTCAAAATTACTATGTCACCAATTTCATCTGTTATAATACAGAAACTTGTAAATTCCAAAACTCAGTTTGCATTTTAATGCCAATTCTAAAAGAAACTATTTTATACAAGGATTGTTATCAAAACAAATTAAGCAAATACTTCAGTTCTTTCACCTTTTGTACTTCTCACTGTGATTGCTTATTTGTTATTTTGATCACATTTTAGAAAGATAGTTCATGCCATTTTCTCTCCATATATGATCTGGTATTCCTGATTTGTTTGTTTTTGTGTTCATAAATTAAAGAGGAAATATTTGCATTATTTGGTTTCTTAGCAATTTGCAACTGTTTAGGACTAAGCTACATTAACAATAATGATTCCTCAGAGGCTATTTAGCATGGCTGAAAAACAGGAATTAGTTACAGCAGTGGGTGGTGGACAAAATGAAGACAAGGTGTGAATTTCAAAAGGGGGATGTTAAATAATTCATTTAGTGTTTACCTTATAAAGTATAAAATACATTAATTAACATCCTTTAGTACTGAACATGTTAAAAGTATCGTCTCAAACTTTGAGGTGAGTTATTAAAATTGTTGAGACAATTGTACCTCTCCTTGCAAAACTTGCTACTGTTAATACAACATTTTGGCTGATCTGTTCTTCAGTCCTCCTCATTGTCATGTAAGTATACAAAAAGAAACATTCAGTTGTCTGAACATTGTTGGGTGTATTAATAGGAACAACACATTCCCAATTCATTTGAGCTCTGTGTATTGAAATTTGAAAATCATTCATTGACAGAATACATCCCTCTTCTTGAGTTGTTGCATATAACAAATGACTACAAAGCAACAACAAGAGAAAACATTAGGATGAACACAAGAAGCATTGAGAAGAGAAGAGCAGAAACATAACAAAAAGTAAAAAGACAAATGTAGTTTCACACACAGAAGTCAAATCACTGAATGTATGAAGGGCATTTGTGGAGTTGTGTCATGAGAAATTTTTAGAGGAACTCACTTCAAGCTGATATCAGGTCTTCCAGTTTGGCGAGTCTTGCTTCAGTTAAACTGTTACTAGTTCATTGACAGTGCAAGTACACACATGTCCTTTTTAGTGAACAATGAGATATGAAGGATCACAAAACAGGCCAATGGTAAAGACATCAGAAATTGAAACCAGTGATATGGTCTTATAGATTTTTTAAAAGTTTTAAGTTTAGAACTTCTTATATCTTTTTAACTTTAATCTAGCTATCTATCTATGTATCTATCTATCTATCTATCCATATATATATATATATATATATATATATATATATATATATATATATATATATATATATATATATAAAACTCTGTAACTTCCATTAGTCTGTCTATTCATCATGCCCTTTAAAATAGCAATACCATGACCGATCAAAATCAAATTTTGGGGAGAAGTGAAAACAGGTAAGGAGGCAGGGACAAAATACAGTATTAAATTTTTTTAATATAACTTTGCGTAAACTAGCTGAAATCAGTTATTTTAGAGCAAAAACAACTTGATTTTGCCTACATTTTAGGTATTTTAGTAATTTTGCAAACATCAGTTTTTTTTTTTAACAAGAACCCATTTGCCCAGTGTTTGTGAGAACTATAAAATAAAATCACAAAACCAAACACTTCAGAAAGTTGGAATTTGGCTCCAGAAAGAAATATTTGCACATGGCCAGTTTTATGTTGCATGCTCAAGAGTAAGAAATCGTAAGAATTTATACTTTGCTGTTAAAAAGGAAAAAAAGAAATTTTCTTAAAAATATTACCATGAAGTCCTATAAAATTAAATTAAAGAAATTATTAAACTGCAAAATAGGTTTTTTGTCAAAGTATTTTTCCAAACAAATCAGCTTATTCAAATTTCATCGATTAGTTTGCAGTTTGTAAATCTCAACAAAAATGTTAATGATAACTTCGACAATACTAAATACTGTGAAGATTTCCATACACTGACGTGTGTTGCAAAAAATTGTAGTCTTTAAAAAAGCAACTCCCTATAATATCCATTTCCACTACTATAATTTACATTATTTACATTTGGATTAATATCCTCATCTTTGTTATTATTATCACAGTATTTCATCCAAGTTGTGGCCTTCTTCAGATATCTGTCAGTCCAGGTGTTAATAATGTAATGAAGTGGTGGGGGTGCCAATTAAATGACAACATGAAACTTGAAACTCCATTACTTAACATTTTATTCATTCCCTTTGTCAGTTACTCTTGGCTAGTCAGTGGTATGTGGCCCTCATTTACACCAGACCACTCCCTGCAGATCCTATGTTCTCTGATTGTGGTGTATGAAAGACTACCTAAATCATTTCTAGGACTGTTTTATATATATCCATCAGTTCAACATCCACATTCTCATGCTTGCAATACATGATGCAGGTGTGAGGTCATGTACTTCTACATTTGGTGGCTGGGACTGATGTCAGGTGAACCTGTGCATCTGGCTTCCTTTGATGTTCTGGTATGAAGTTTGAGTGTAGAGTCTATTTTGCTATAATAACACAATAACAACAAAGATGAGGATATTAGTCCGGATGTAAATGATATAAATAATGATAACTCCTCATCCTTGAAATTCAGACAGAAAAATCCATCACTGTGTACCAGACTTTGTTGTGTCTAAGTTTTGTTTTTGTTTTCTTCCAATCTTCATCCAATGCAAGGCCTAAGAGCCACCCAAGGTAGAAGCTTACTGTGTGGTGTTGATTTGAAGAGGTCAAGATTGTAGTGATTGGGAAAATATACTACTGAAAGTTTGTTCCACAAAGCGGCAGTTCTTGAGAAGAATTTTTCGAAATGGAACTTACTTCTTTTAATGGAATGCGAAGGGATGTGCCATCCTTATGCAGGTGGCATAGCAGGTCCCAGCTGTAAAAGTCAGGACTGGTGGCTTGTCATAAGACTTGTCATGGAAGTAGTGATAGATTAATGAGAGGCTTTCAATGTTTCAATTTGGGGAAAGGGGTTCTAGGGTAGGAAATATTTCAGCATCAACAAAGCCATGTACATGCTTTTGAATTCTATCAAGACAGACAAGTGAAGACTGAACAGCTCCAACCCAGATATGGCAACAATACTCCATTTTTGGCCTGATCTGACTCTTATAAAGAAAGAGCATAGCAGAAGGAGTTAGATACTTACCAGAAGTGTACAATGAATTGACCACTTTCTCAGTATCTTTAGCAATAAAACATATATAGGAGTTCCATTTGAGGTCTGGGTTGATATTTAATCCCAATACCATATCACATTGAAACACTAGATCTTGTCTGATCACTGAAGTTAAGCAATGGCAAGCCTGGTCTGTACCTGGATGGGTGACCACTTGGGCATACCAGGTACGGTAAGCTTGGATAGGTAGGTGCTGTAATGAATAATGACTCAGAATTGTTAATCAAAAAGTAATATTTCAATTGCAGATGGGTTTGTTATATTCACTTACATACAAATATCCTTGGGAAAGGTATGAATCCACATCTTCTTCCCCTAGCTATGGTAATTAGTAAAACTTGTATCACTGAACCATTATTATCTTCCCTGCCAAAAATAAAATTGCATGCAAACTATTTAGATTTCAGCATTAAATAAGCCATAGAGGGTGATATGCTGCTAAACAAAATACAGCCCCAAAAAATTGAATCCCAAAAGATGTTCAAGGCAAGAAGGCTCCTTGAACATACATCCATTATGATAGGTGAAAGTTCAGGGTCTACATGAAAACAATAAACTTAGTTTCAAATAAAGGTAAGTAATAGATTCTTCATGGACGTGACACACACTGCATATCAGTCTCACTTGTGAACAATTCTGATCGACATAATAAATATAGATTTCCACCTTTGGCATGCCTGACTGATCAAGATTTGACACATTATCTTATATAAAAGTTAATGTTACGTTTATTGGTTGCTTGGTTCACTGGTTTTGTCATAAAATCAAATACAGGGTGTGATGAATAAATTGTCGTCTAAATAACACAAAAATGAAAATAACACTGACATCTCATTTTAACAGATATATTTACCAAAATTACAGAAAAATATCTTAAAATACTAAAGAGTATATTTATTCAATAAAATTGTCATTGGCTTCAACCACGACCTCCAGATAACTTTGAAATTCCATTCCATGTAACTCTTCTTCATGCTCTTCCTGTTTAAGTTGGTGAATGCTGCTATAATCCTTGCCTTTAGTTCATCTTTGGTGTTACAAGGAGTTTTGTTAATTTCTTGCTCAACTGCACCCTGCACATAATAATCAATCAAGGGGGTTGCAGTCTGGGAAGTTAGGGGTCAGATGTAAGGGGTGATGTGGTTGCAGAAATTATCTGATAGCCATAACTGGGTTCTCCTGCTTGTGTAGCATGGTGCAGAGTCCTGTTGCCAGAAATAGGGTTTTCAGCAGCCACCCTCTTGACCTAGGGCAGCACTACCTCTTCAAAGCAATTGATGTAGGCTGTGTTGAATCTAAGTCCCTGTGGGAAGATGAATGGAGATGTAACATCACTATCACTAGTGGTCACTGCAAACACCTTCGTAATCACCATTAGACTCATCCAACTCTTTCTGAACTCTCTGCACTATCTCCAGATTGCCATCCAAACACCCTGAAATGTTCATATTGGAGCTTCCGGTATGAATGCCAAGCAGTATAGCATGCTGCTTCCAAATTTCTGGTGGAGTGAATTGCGTCATGGTGCTCTTTTTCTCACAGAGGGTGCCCAACTGACCTTACTATACCGTGCAGCTCACAAAATCAAAAACAAACAATGCACACATGCAAAATTAAAAATATAAAATGGCGACAATCTACCCATCGCACCCTGTATATACAATTAAGTGAATTCAGCCCTGATTTGAACCATTACCCAGGTGGTAAATGATATATCAATATGGCAGCATACCCATTATCAAAACTGTTTCGACTTGAAGACACACTATAAATCAGTGTGATTTCTCATCTTCAGTATGGCTCCTCAGTTCAGGCTCATTTGTGTTTCTTTAACACTGACCCTCTGGTTTATACTGCATCTATGCTGAGTAGAACTTAGTTACAGTTCAAGCATATGTTCCACCAGGGCCAAATACAGTTTTCAATTCACAATTGTCCTCCTTTCCTGGTTGTCAACCACAGCTAGAGAGTTCAGTCTGCTTTGCTACTTAAAACATAGCTGGGGGAGAAGAGATGATTTCAACCCTTTCCCAAAGTCATCTGTGCAAAAGTGAAAGTAACAATCACTACTGGAATTCAAACTCTACTCACTAAATTCTCATTCTAAGCCTCTAACCATTACACCACCTGCACATCCCAAAACATAGACATAAGTGACATACCAATAAGCCAGCATACTGTTGCTGAAATATCTAGGTAAAATTAACTTTGAAATACATTTAATGTACTTTTTTTTTTACTGTTTTTTAAGTTTGTAATTATTTCTATCAAGGAACAAACTTCCAAACATTTTTTTTTCTTATTTTCTCTTTCAAGGTAGACACATTAAAAAGAAGACTTCTCTCTAAAAGTTTTGACAGCTAACAAAATTGATCAGTTAGAAAGCAAAAAAGGCATTATGTGCAAACAAATATTTGAAATAATGACAATATCAGAAATTATGGATAAATACAATTACATCGAATAAACTGAAGCAGGAAAAAAACAAATTTAAATACATCTAGAGGAAAAAAGAAAAAATTATAATTAAATGATTTAAATAGGTGAAGAGTGTCCCTGCTCATGCTTACATATGTGTTTGATGTCAATTTAGTTAGTCAAATGTCTCATTTTTTAGTAAGTTGGATTTGCTTAAGGAGGAATTATCTTTTAGATAAACTGGAGGTAGCAGAAATGTGGTTCCACAGAAAGATACTGAAAATCCCATGGACAGAGTGAGTAAGCAACAACGAAGTCTTAAAGAAAATAGTAGCAAAAAGAATGCTTCTACTCAGAATTAGGAAACAACAGTCGAAATTCCTTGAACACCTAATAAGGAGGGACTTGGAAAGCTTAACCCTCTTGGGATATATTGAGGGCAAGAGATAGGGAAGGCAGTGAGCCACTTAATTGACAAGCTTGAATGGCTGGTAGGACAGGAGTCTTGGCAAAAGGAGAAAAACTGCTAGGGTCATAGGGAACAGGAAGTTGTGGAGAGTCATGATCACCTATATCTTGAAGTACAAGGCTCAAGAGCAACTCAACATGGAGGGTTACTTTTAAAAGTGTAACTATCAATGGGGTTCATGATTCGTGCCTTGACAAAGAAAAGCTTCTATCTTTAGATGTTTATACCTTGAAAAAGAAAAGCATCTATTGATGCTTATGTCTTCAGATGAAAAGCTTCTATATTTAGATGCTCATGCCTTGAAAAAGAAAAGCTTCTATCTTCAGATGCTCATGCCTTCCAACAAAAAGCTTCTATATTTAGTTGTCCATGCCTTCAAACAAAAAGTTTCTATCTTCAGATGCTCATGACTTGAAAAAGAAAAGCTTCTATATTTAGATGCTTGTGCCTTGAAAAAGAAAAGCCTCTATCTATAGATGCTCATGTCTTCAGACAAAAAGCTTCTATCTTTAGATGCCCATGCCATTAAACAAAATGCCTCTATCTATAGATGCTCATGTCTTCAGACAAAAAGCTTCTATCTTTAGATGCCCATGCCATTAAACAAAATGCCTCAATCATTAGATGCGCCTGCCTTGAAAAAGAAAAGCTTCTATATTTAGATGCTCGTGCCTTGAAAAAGAAAAACTTCTATCTTTAGATGCTCATGCTCTCAAATAAAAAGCTTCTATCTTTAGATGCTCATGCCTTCCAACAAAAAGTTTCTATCTTCAGATGCTCATGCCTTCCAACAAAAAAAGCTTCTATCTTTAGATGCACATGCCTTCAAATTAAATGCTTCAGTCTTTAAATGCTCCTGCTTTGAAAAAGAAAAGCTTCTATCTTTAGATGCTCATGCCTTCAAAAAAACAAAAAACAAATAGCAAAAAAGGCATGAATCTAAATTTCCTTTTACCCTGTTCCATCTTCATTTTTCTTCAATGAGATGTAATGAAACAATAATAATAAATCATCCACTCTACAATCCATTAGATTAAAACTTTTACTACAATGATAGATACCTTCAAGCTTCAGTCCTCCTAAAAGGTGATTGATGTTGTATATAAAACCAAGTGTTTGTGTGTGTGTGTGTGTGTTTGTGTGTGTTTTCTATGCAATGAACAACATGATTGTATGGGAAGGAACTTGACATTAAAACCTCTTTTCATTTCTTATTGTTTAACTCTGTTCTCTTCATGTTTAACAGGTTTGTGGACACTAAAACAGAAAACTAACAAGATGACATTTAGTAGTTTTTAATTCTTTCATATATATATATATATATATATATATATATATATATATATATATAATCAAAATCTGGAAAAGTGTTACTTACAATAAACATTTATATGAATTAATTTGATTTGTAATGTTCCCAAAAACACCAGGATGTTTCCAACAGAATCCTGTCTACAATACTGACAACATCCAGTTCTTGATAATGACTGAAATGGTTGAAAGTACTAGAACAAAAATATGAACTTTGTATGGTTTATCCACAATTTTGATTTGAATTTACAACATTTGAAAATTGGAAAAATGCAATAAAATGTTAAACTTTCTGACCCTGTTCATTCAATTTAACAAAACTTGTTTACACACACACATTATATGTATGGATGTATACACATACTTTTTTCTCAAGTATATGAAGTAAAATATATATATATATATATATATATATTATATATATATATATATATATATATATATATATATATATATATATATATATATATTATTACTATAAATGTTTTTTTGATGTGTTTCAGTTGCTATTCCTGTTTTTTTTTTATTTTAGTGTACCTGCTAAAATAACATTTATAATAATAAGAAATAATGTCAGCTAAAAACATCTATTTAAATATACATATATATATATATATATATATATATATATATATATTATATATATTTATGAAAAACTAGGTAATCCGTATGGGTTAACCCAAGGAGGATAAAATCCAGAGAGTTCAATGTAAATCCAGAGCAAGTAATTTAAATAAAAACAGACCACTTTAAGGTTCCATGTAATAAATTATTTCACCACAGCCCTTTTAAAGGATTGCGGATCATCAGACTTTACTTCCAAAGGTTGAAACAAAAAATGAAAAGAAATTTACACATTTTTGATGGGCCGTATTAAGCATATGTAAATTAACAAAGTGAGGAAGTGAGGGGGGAGAGAGAAGATATGAGTGAGTTAGATGTGATTTAAAATTTCTATTCTTTTATACTTAAAATTAC